TGCCCAAATGCGGGGAGATGTATGATATCTTGTATAAAGCGTGCCGTAAGGCACTGAAAGATGTTTCCGTCCCAGACCATGTTGTAGAAAAACTACCATTACAAGACAGCGGGACGAAACGGTGACGCACAAATGCCACGGCAGGCGACGGTGAAAGCGTGTGCGTCAGGTGATGCCGGCGCCGAGATGGCGTGGGGGAGGCGGGTCGGTGTTTCTCTTCCTTTTTTTTTCGCGCTCTCGTCCGTCGCTGAACGGGTCTGCGTAAGCTGATGGTGGCTCCGGGCGCCAGGCTAGTGCGACAAAGGTGGCGGCTCTCTCCTGTTTTACAGACGATAGTCTTTCTTGGGGACCTTCGACGGAAAAAATTTGGTCTGTCTGTCTGTCTGTCTGTCTGTCTGTTCGCCCTATGATACATCCAATGGCACCAAACGGCCAACCCCATCCGCAGCGCCCACCAATATTGCTGAAGGTTTAGCGTTCATAGTTGTGCGATTGTCAATTAAAAAGCAATTATTGCGCATATCTGAGGCGCCACAACAACGCTTCGATGTTTTCTATGTCTGCCTTTATACTAGAAGAGGCACACACAAGTAGCTCTAAGGAATGCAGCATTTAATCGCGGTGCGCTGACAGTGCAACGTGATGCTCAAAAAGGTGTTTCCAAGGCTTTGCTACGACGTCACGGTGGTGGCACCTGCCCGTCGCTTTGCGTGCTACACCTTATCACCTCCGAGACTGGCGCGCATCTTTCTGCAGCCCGGGCACGCCTTCGTTTTCGAAGATAACTGCCAGATGGCACTTGTGTCTAACGTGCATTGATGCGCTCGTTCGCCTCCGTTACACGCTCGAAGCACTCTAACGCAGCGCCTTCAGAATACCCTTCACCGATTTTCTTGCGCAGAACATCAAATAAACGGTTTGTTCACTCTCTCCAGGCGCAAGACTATCGTCTTTCAACGAGATTTGCAGTGTTACATGCAGATTTGGAACCAATGTTTCTCTTTTTTTTTTCTTCTTGCGCCCGCTCTTACCGGCTGTAGGCATTACTTTTGCGCCGCGCGGCTGTCACGGGTATTTTTTATTGCTGGGCTTCCTATAGACAAGATTTTAGTCAGTACGTAGGAGCGCGCCGCCTATGCCGTTCGTTATCCGGCTCCTGACTGAGAGTGTACTGGCCGTGCGCACAGTCCGCTGCTCACACTTCGTTTGACTCAGATAGTATTCGCGCTTTGCTCTGCTGCTGTGCTTTTTATGGCGGCAAAGTATAGCTCCTAGCAAAATTATTGCGCAGACTACCATTAGAAGCACAAAAATCTCATTTCAAAGACAAAAAATTTTCGCAGAGCTACCAACTTATGCACCACAGCTTGACACCGCAGTGCTTGAACCCCACGCCTACAACACTAATTTCTAATCATTCACTGCCGTGTTTATTATGGCTAATTCGCAGGGGCAGAAAATAATTACTCGATGCCATATCATGCCAAATTGAAAAACCGTGCGGCATCACAAATTTCGTACAATCTTAATACCCACTTGTTGTGCTAAGTCTTGCACAAAGGTGTCATCGGGTTGATGTCATCGGGATTGTTTTGAATATGTCCTATAGCGGCGCTTGTGTTCTTGTGCATTTACCTTGATTTCTCGATAAGTAGGGCACTGTTGTGGATAATATTGCTGTTTTAGATGTTGTCATACATTGAGCTTTCACTCTGACCTAAATTGTTGTTTGACTTTAGTGTCCCTTTAAGAAACTGAAGTATAGGCCTGCGTTCCATACATAGCGAGCAGGAAGTCCTATCTATCGTTGCAGTCTTTGTACAAGGGCATTTTTATGGGCCGTAAGTGGAAGTGAAACCACATAATGCAACATGTTTTCATTGATTGTGAAAGGAAATGTGCAGGAGAATAAGTGGGGAAAGTGTAAAAAATATCAAACACGATTTTCCATTTTAATCATCGTCAGACGTTCCCCTTGCATGCTCTTTTTTGATTAGCGCGATGATATATTTTTATTTAAGAGTGTTAATATAAGCTTTAACAGTCTGATAAATAAGCACGCTTAGAAAGGAATGCAGAATTGTTACCGCTCTGTCATAGGTGCTTCTTGAAATAAATGCCGGAAAACTAAGTAAAAAAGCGTTTTTTTGGTATAAATTCAGAATTTTTAAAAAACATTTGCACTACGCCGAGATTCGAAATATAATCGAACGGAAGCGCAAGTACACCTATATTTAGCTAAAGAAATTCGAGGTACGTAGCTTTATTATATATGATGTAATTCATTCCAAAATTTGAAAAAAAATCAAAACAGGTAAGCGTGGTACTCCGCCTTTTCTTCATTATTGATTTACTGTGCTTCGAAAAAAATTTAACCGAAAAACCGATTACGCATCTCTTCTTTCCACTGATGAGGCAATAATATATAAAATTTTGAAAGAAATTCAACAGGTTGACCAGCCGTGCTTTGTTCGATCTTACGTGGAATCACCCTGCTGCCATCTGAGGGCCTTCAGGCACATTCAAGCTGTATGATGCTCGCCTGACGGACTCCCACTAATGTCGTTGGAAAAAGAAGAAAAACGCCAGGCCTGCACGGAACGCGCAGAAAAGTCACCGCGAAAACTAGAAGAGCGGCCTCTCACAGCCTTTTCAAAACACCCATTGGGTAACTATTGACTGACTGACTGATTGATTGATTGATATGTGTGGTTTAACGTTCGAAAATCACCATATAATTATGAGAGACGCCCTTGTGGAGGGCTCCGGAAATTTTCACCACCTGGGGTTCTTTAACGTGCACCCAAATCTGAGCACATGGGCCTACAAAATTTCCGCATCCATCGGAAATGCAGCCGCCGCAGCCGGGATTCGATCCCGTGACCTGCGGGTCAGCAGCCGAGTACCTTAGCCACTAGATCACCGTGGCGGGGCAAGAAGCTCTTGTAGAAGAAATAAATTGAAGCAAGATAGTTGGGCTAGTTGGTGATACATTGTTGGCGGTAACAGCGCACAAACTCACAGGACTGCCCCGCCATGGTGGTCTAGTGGTTAAGGTACTCGGCCGCTGACCCGCAGGTCGCGGGATCAAATCCCCGCTGTGGCGGCTGCATTTCTGATGGAGGCGGAAATGTTGTAGGCCCGTGTACTCAGATTTGGGTGCACGTTGAAGAACCCCAGGTGGTCGAAATTTCCGGAGCCCTCCACTATGGCGTCTTTCATAATCATATGGTGGTTTCGGGACGTTAAACCCCACAAATCAGTCAAACTCACAGGGCTAAGAAAAGGGACTGAGACAAGTGCTGCTTGAAAAAATACGTTGGGACGCGGGAAAGAAGCCCTTGTAGAAGAAATAAACTGAAGTAAGACTGATTGATAGTTGGACTAGTTGGTGATACATTGGGGGTGATAACAGCGCACAAGTTCACGGGAGCGGAGGCGTAGTGGTGGCGCGGGTGCACGTGTGGGAGAAGCACTGACACATCATAGCGACACGTGCGAGAAATCGCGAAACGCCTGCCTCTTCTGCCGCGCGACCAGCCGAAGGAGGCATGCTGTCTGAACCGGCAGGTTTAGGGCTGTTCCACGCGCTTCCCGCACAGCCGCAACGCACGTGTAGGGACACCTGCCGCACGCAAGCAGGGGACAAATAAGCCAATCGGCGACGCTCCGGAGGCTGAAAGGGCATTGCCAATTGGCTTACTTGTACGCCGCTTGCGTGCGGCAGGGGTCCCGGCACGTGCGTAGCGGCTGTGCGGGCAGCGCGTGTAAGGGCCATTAGGGCTGTTCCACGCGCTTCCCGCACAGCCGCAACGCACGTGCCGGCACACCTGCCGCACCCAAGCAGAGGGTGAAAGACCGTGGCCAATTGGCTTAATTGTACCCCGCTTGCGTGCGGCAGGGGTCCCGGCGCGTGCGTTGCGGCTGTGCGAAAAGCGCGTGAACGGCCCTTACGCACTCGCCGCCTCGCCTCTTTGAAAATCCCGCTTGGCCGCTTTGCCGCGCTGCATTCGGTGTGAATGAGCGAGATCAAAGCGTGAGAGAAGATAATAAATGCAAGATAGTGTGTTACAGGTAAGCCGTCTTTGCCGCTGTGTCGTTGTGGGCGTTCGCCAAAATAGGACGCATGACCAAGTGGGAAGGACGAGCCTCGTTATTTGGGTGAGGAAATCGAGCGATCGACTGTGAATGGAGAAAGTACATGGTCTAGGGGATTAAGTCGTTCGAGCAAGCGCACCTTTCGTCGCCTGGGCAGGAAATATGCTGCGAGATGGACAACTTGTGCACCGTCAGTAGTCGTCTAGGCTTTGGCGCGGATGAGCTGACGGTCAATAGGGAGGTGTCGAGGCTCGAGAGGGATTAGTCTCACTTCGAAGGACATGGCTGCCATCGTTTTCAGGCATCACAAACTTACGCGTATAGAACGTCAGTGAATGATTTGCGCCATTGTGTTGGAAGCTCAAGAGATCTGGCTCGTCTTCAACCAAATGCTCTTCAGCTCACTCGAAAACTAGTGCATGGTTTTTAGAGCAACGATCTTTCTCTGCTCTTTGTGCGTCACAACGTCGCTGGCTTGCAGTGCACTGGGATTTCACGTTTGTATTAGAGTTGTTTGCGAATCATTGTGACTTGGAATTTCTAACGCACGCTCCCGACCTTAAGTATCGTGATTACGGGATTCCGTTTCTGCTAAAGGTTGCAAGAGACGCCCATTTCATCAACCGTGCTTTTCCGCGCGGATTCGTGATTGCCCTCCGGAAAAAACGCCCGCCTGTGTCGGCCATGTTGCGATGCTGAAGCGCACACAACTCGGAAGCCCTGAGAAGGCAGCAAGCACCATTGTAACTCTGCGCGCGGCCTCGCTTTCGCCAGGTTTGAAAATTTAATCATCTCGAACCAAGTGAGCCGAGACAGACGCAAATAACGCCGTTTCTGCGAAAACAAACTGCACAGAGGCTCGCGCCTTGTATGTGATGATGCATTTTTTTTTTTTTTTGCAGGCTGCTGAACGCCAACCGGATATCATGCATAAGGAAAGACACGTTCAGAGATCTCCGGAACCTGAATCTTCTGTACGTATATTCTTGCTCTACGCCTTCTTGTCTCATGCTTTATGCAGCCTCGTTTCTTGCACCTTTTTCGGCAACGGAGTTCGCTGTAGCAGATTTCTCCACGGGAAACCAGACCCAGCGGGGCATTAATCATTCATCATTGGCGTCGGGACGAGAACTGTATAAATTTTAATGGCATGCTCTGCGTTCAGTGCGAGGGCCAAACAAAGACTCATAATAAAGGGGACCCTATTTCATTCTTCATTAATGAAGTGAGATGAAAGCACATGGACACGCAGAACTAGCAAAACAAAATAGACGCCAATGATTTTTGTCTTCTTCAATAAGATGATATTATTATATATGTAAGAGAAGAAAAATGACACATTTTAAATTCCACTGCATGACGCCACATGGGGTATGATTTCTGCACTGTGTGCTATGCCGATCGATCTACTCGCGTAATTCTTCGGGTTTCCTGAAATATATATCGCTTACTGTATAGATGCGCCCCTTCATATGTTGACAGTACCGCCAGTGCCGATGAAACGTCCCAGTCTGTCGTCTTGACATGGACACATCTCTGAGGGGAAAGTGGGCACCGATGCTGAAAGCATTATGGTGTAACTCCAAGAAGATGTAAATTTAAAAGAATATCTTAGGACCGGTTCTGTGACCGCAAAGCTTGATCGTACAGAAATATGAACCTTAGTGTAAATATTTGCACCACATGAAAGTGTAGTTAATTGCTGCACCACAGTACACAGTATAGTTGATTGTTGTGATGTGTGCAGAGGTGCACCCATCCATTCATTTTAGGGGTGGGGTGGGGGTCGCTTGAAATAGCACTAGAGAAAGGGACGTGGGCATTACTTTCTATTTTTACTAGCCCAAAAACTCTGTGATAGCGTAAATACTGTTACTCTGTGCCCAAAGTCGTCCCACTTATTTGTCTTAATTGGTGATAGCAGGTGGACGGCAAGCACTAAAGAGAAAGGGGCATCTGACAGGCTTTGGGGGGGGGGGGGATCTCTGGATTTGCCGCTCAATGTTTGAGAGGTTTGAGAACGTCTCTAGGTGTCTATAGCACCGTTTCACATAGACACGACCTCGTTGACGCGTAGTGGCACTTATTCATTCCGGTGACAAACGTCAAAGATGACAATTTAGCCCTTATTATAGCTGAAGTAGTTCACATACACCTGAACACAGCACTCCCGTGCAAATGTGGCATTAACAAGTACATAAAATTGGTATACGATGTTAAGAGCGTCATTTGAGAAAAAAACGCCGAGGTGTGCGCTCACCAGTAATAGGGTAACATCTGCCTGTGCTCCTGCACACAGCGCTTTAGGAACGCACGGGGCAGAGTTTGTGGCTCTCGCAGCACCGCCAGCGGTAACTGCCGCCGAAGCGCTGCCCATCGGCGCTCACGAGTGTAATGATGCAATACTTCACAGACACGACACGGTGACGCGCGGTCTCACATCACGCGCCCTATTTGAATATCTTGCTCCTTTTTGAGTACTGCCTCACACCTAGCGCACGAACGGCAGGGAGTTGAACGCCGAGGTCAAGTTCGCCTGTAAGCAGTTGATGGTTCCAGTTTTCGTCCGACTGTACGCACAACGATTCCCCTCGCATACGCGGACAAACTCGTCCAGTCACGAATTTCTTCTGAATTGACAAAGTCCATAACTAGATTCGCCAAGCAACGTCCGCTTACACTATTGGCTGCTCACCTTGACCCGGCGCAGGCACCTGTGCTCGTTTTTTTTTTCTTTTTCATTATATTTGAATGTACGATTTAAAGCTTGTCTGATTAAATGTAGAACTCATATTTATAAAAAGGAAATGAATGTAATCCCCTTGGGATCATTTTGTATTTACGACACTGGTCCTTGTTACAGGGGGTTCACATATGAGGCCACTTTTTTTTTTATTGCGACATAGACTATCCTTTAGGGCGTAATGTTTTTGCGTGTATCTGTATTAAATGTGCGCCGTTAGGCCAGTGTTGTGTATGAATGGAAGTTGTGTCTTGTGGTATGTGTTGTAATCTATCCAGCGGTTCTAAACTGGCTGTGTCGCTGTAGTGAAGGCCGGCGACCACCAGTAGTGCCACCGCCAAAAACCTCTTCCCGTTCGAAAGAGAACAGCTGTAGCGACGCGCATTATTTCGCTTTTTGCGATGTTGTCGATGGTGCTGATCTTTATTCTAGTTCGTGAAACTATTGCTGAATAAACCGTCTTTAAATCTCAGTCAAGGCGCGAAAGTGTCATCTCCAATACCATTTCAATGCGCCGACAGATTTTTTTCTTTCGTTTTCCTGTTATTATTATCCGCATTGCCAAGAACTTGATCTCTTTGATGAAGTAGCACACTGAAGTAAACAAACCCACACACATAAAGGACGCTAACGCAATGTGTGTGTGTTTCTTTACTTCGGTGCGCTGCTTCATCAAAAGATCATGGCTAACCAACTATAGCTTATATGTACGCATTACCAAGAACTTAGATTTTTTTCTTTACGAAATTTTTCGATTTGTCATGGTAGACAGCCGCCAAGTCCAGGGACTACGCTACAACGCCTCATTTTCCCGGAAGTGCGAAATAACAACTGCTCCTACATAACCCTTCAATCAGACCATCTCAAAACTCGCGCAACGAGAGCATGGCTTGGGGCGGAATAATGAGCGTACATTTCGTTATGAGAACCGTTCTGGTACAAGAGAAGTGGCACAAGTGACGCCACTGTAATGGTTTTCAGCGGCGGCGTGCGGCCATTTTTTTATCACATTATCGCCCGGCATCACTGGCCTTGAGTTGTGTAGGCCTGTGAAGTACAGGCATGAAGTACGTGCGGTGAGCACCTGTCTTTCGAAAGTAACCCCATGTGGTCGAAATTTCCGGAGCCCTGCACTGCGGAGTCTCTCATAATCATATGGTGGTTTTGGGGCGTTAAACCCCACATATCAATCGTTTCTATCGAAAGTACCAGTAGACAGCGGCTGGACCGTGGCAGGTGCAGCTTTTGCGCCCCTTCCCCTGCCGACGCGCGCGCACTAACACACGTATGTACACACGTGCGGTCGCGCACGTTCCTGACGTTTGCTGTGCTTCGTCCGAGCAAAGTGGGATTACGTAATCCAACTTCGCCCGTCACAACGTTTTCAACCCGCGCGTGTGTGGTGGTGTGCATTGTGACGGCGCCGTTGAATTACTTGCCGTTTCCGCAATTACGCAGAAACAGCAAGTAATATATATATATATATATATATATATATATATATATATATATATATATATATATATATATATATATATATATATATATATATATATATATATATATATATATCGTCCTCCAGTGTTCATTAGTCCCTTTGGAGTCGCAGTATGCTTCATGCATGGGGTTATGGCCTGCAGCAAAGCTCACTTTTAAAGACGATATATTTATATAGCGCAAAAACAGAATGACGACACAAAGACAAAAACACGAAGGACATAGCGCTCGTGTCCTTCGTGTCATTCTTGTGTCCGTGTCGTCGTTCTGTTCTTGCGCTATATAACTATCGTGATGTCATACCAACTAGCTCAAGCTGCCTCATTTTTCAAATCCTCTACGGCGCGGGACTGGTGGGTTCTGTTCATACACTTTCGGACATGCGATGCGTGTTAAAATTGAGACTTGGTATAGCCTCTGCGTCCGAAACTTCAGGTGTTGTCATATGTTTGCTCCGTTGGGCTTGTGGCGGTTGCATCGAATCTTCCAAATTTTCAATCGTGTCTGAACAATCGGCACCTTTGTTATCCTAATCAGTGCTGTGTGTTAACGCATCCCATCTGATATTATAGATTATACTTTTCCCACAACAGCCTGCGATTCTCTATTTCGCACATTTTGCGTAACCCGCCTATAGCAATCAATTGATATATATATATATATATATATATATATATATATATATATATATATATATATATATATAGAGAGAGAGAGAGAGAGAGAGAGAGAGTAAATTAGGTAAGGAAGCGCCAGGAGAGGTAATTAATGGGTGAAGCTTGTTGTCGTTTCAAGAGCAATACCAAACAGTATCGTTATCCTTGTCAAATAAGCATATTACTTTCTGCCCCTTCGGACAAAGGTGTCAGCCGGCTTTTTGGTGCCCGCTCTGCGTCGCAGCCACGGCTCGACGCGGGCGTCGGGCGTATATAGCGGCCCGCACCGAGCAATCTTCGCACGGCGCTAGTTGGCGGCGATTTTTACTCGCGCCGCCTGCAAGGGCCGTGATGAACTGCCGCAGAAAGAGGGAAGACCGCCTGAAAGAAGAACTAACCAGCGGCTCGTCATTTCTCAGCGGCGCGCTTCTAATAAAAGCGCGTGGTGCGTATAGGCTGCCAGTTTGCCTCCATGCACCCAATATAAATAACACCTCTGCGCGCGCGGACGATCAAGATTCGGTTCGGGTCTAAATGCGGCCTGCAGGGATTTGGCCGCTTCCAGAAAAGGTGCGCGATGTGTCGCCAACCGTGCGTGCCCTTGGCTGAAAGCCGCGCTGATGGAGGGCTCCCTCTGATGAAGCTGCACGTCGTCTCGGAGGCGCTCAGTTAAACAGTCCCTGGCAAGCGTAAGGTGACGTGCCGCGAAATAGTGATATTTTTGTGCCTTATCGCACAGTCTGGTGCTATTACTGCTATGTGGTCTAGACAGGGGAATACCAGCATATCGTTCAGCAAGCTAGAACTTTTTTTTTTTCGCTAGTATATTGGAACGAAAGAGTTGGAGTTTAATGGTTCGAATCTATGTTTGAGGCACAAATCTAATGAGAAGCAACTAAAAGTTGAAAATTAAAAGCAAATAAAATGTGAAGAAATTAAAGTAGACACCTGGCCCGTGGCAGGCACCCAACCTGCTGCTCTCGTATAACGCGTCCGATTTTACGATATGATTATGAGCGAAGCCGTTGGGGAGAACTTCCTAAATTTTGGCCATCTGGGGTTATTTAACGTGTACGTA